ACTACACCTTCCTAATCTGCAAAGGATTTTTTCCTGCAATTCTCCTGGGGCACTCCAATGCGGTTATCGTTGTTACGGTGGTCGTCAAAGCCACGGCCATTCGGTCTATCGATGGGCTTTGTGGCACTGATGTGCAAACGGGCGAACGATAATCGCGATTGACCAGTAAACGTGGGTGTGGAGTAGGATGTCAGATATAGGCGATCGATAACCGTCGTTTCGCGGACGCAACTGTATGAATTAATGAGCGATAATCGCATATGTACTTGCACCAATGAAAGCAGATAGGTCACTAATCTAACAAGCCTCTAATTGTTTGAGCGATGCACTTTTTATTTGTGTATTACAATTAGGTATCACGCATTGAACTTAATTCGTAACTTACGTTTACCAGTGCTGTACGTAACTAATGACGGATTCTATTTGTTTGCATGATGAATCCGTCGTGTAAATGAGGCTCATTTATGGGATGAGTTTATCATATAAATTCCAATTTTCATCGAACTTTGTGCAGAAAAAGGGAATCTGTGGCTATGGGAGCACCACTGCATTTATCCTAATATTATCTGACACGCTAGAGTCTATGCGATTCACATGAGGTTTATCATTATACGGTAAAATCGGTCCAAAATTGCGGCTAACAGAGCGTGAACGGATGCAGCTGACGATACCCTTGTGTGAACCAAGTTGAAACTTCTTATTGGATGCTCCATGCCCATGAGATAAGGCATCATCGTCCACCGAGAGGTTACACAATAAAAACAAACAGGTGCCATCATGAGAAAATCAATGCTAATTCCAGCAAATACAAAAATAACGAGATGCCTAGCAGATTCGAGAGGGAGGGGAAGATGAGGAAATAAAGAAGAGTGTCAGTTCAATGGAGGAGTAGTGTGGTGTAATTATAAAATTGCATTTAGATGTTTGTGATCTGCGCACAGAACAGAAAATCTCGAGAAAGGCTGTAAAGTGAAACACGATGAAAAGCAGGAGACAATTTTATTGATAATCTCTCAAAAAAGGAAAAAAAGGAGAACGGATCAGCTTTTGCTGTTGATTGGCGATCACAGTAAACGCTTTGAATCCAAACTGGTCATTGGCGAGTAAGAGAGTGCAATAGGATGTCCCGGGACAAGAGGTGCACGTCTTGAGCTTGATGTGCTCGTTTCAAACGGGCTGGGATAAGGACCAGTTGCAGCTGTCTCCGAACGGAACAGTGAAAATGCTGCTTGTATGTATCGGAACTGGGCCTCGCGGACTTTGGCTGCCAAATTCAAACCCCACGGAAGTGAATCACAGCGTAACTGTTGTGTACTGACCCGCCCATCCCCGATGAAAACCACATAGACGGGGCTGGATATGCTTTCTGAGCCCGTAGTTTGTGTAGAAACATGATCAGAACGAAGGGTGCTCCCAGTTCGGACAGTTACTTCATCCAGTCGTCGGTAAGGAAGCATAAACATCAAGGTGGCGTGTTCGGTCAAGTAGAACGTGGGTGAGGACGCCTGAAAATGACACAAATAGTACAGAGGAATCAAGAGAATTCATGAATAAATCTTCAAAAACTGATAATGAATTAAAAATTGATATTATTGGTGGAGGAACTGACTTGATTATATTGGTGAAATCCACCGCAATCGATCAAGAGAGCAGTATGCTTGTGTTCTAAATTGTATGGATCGATGAAAGTAAATCAGTATAGAAATGCTAAGCATGCATCTTAGCAAATTTCAATTTTGCACTAGAACACGTGGTCATCGTAATGAACGCCTCGTAGGTTGCCCTGGTAAAGGATCCACGTCTCAGTGCATTGTTAAGCACGATGTGGTAGACGGTAGCTGGGCACACACAATACGTGCCCTAACCAGAGAAGTCTACTAATCTGAATTCGATGTGCTAGCAGATTTATACCTGACAGCCTTCCAAACACTCGACGGCTTACCTCCAGATTGCTAACCCGTTCGCTCCATCCCACCTGAGCTAAACTACGTGAACACTGGTAATCAAAAACTTCAAGTCGATGGATAACTCCTGCTGTCAAATTCAAGGTCTTATAACTATAAAGTAGAACTGAACGAACGCTAGCACAATATACACAACCTTTCAATTTCAGTGAAACGTCGCGTATACGCCAAAGGTGTTTTAGTCCTGCGTATGTTGCTCGAGCCTTGGAAATACGAATGGCTATCTACTTTGCTGCGCTTCCGTCATTGGTCACGCAAAAACATAAGTACAAAGTGTAATACACTATAATTAATTCCTGGCCATTTAGTTTCCGAGCGGGAGTGAGCGACACCCAGTCCTGCAGCATCACTTTGTATTTTAAAGGTGCAAAGCACATACCAAATGTAGAAACAGCACTTGTTAGTCTATCAAGTGCGTCTTGCGCGTCCTCCGTACCTTCGAACAGACAGACAATGCCATCAGTGTACTCCAAATCGCATAGCTTTACTCCAGCTGTCTATTCAAAACCTACGTTTTGGAAACCACTTAGTGCGTTCTCCAGTATTTCGTCTAAGATGAAATTGAACGGGAAAGGTGAAAGAGGGCACCCTTGACGAACGCCGATGCTGGTGATGAACGGCCTATTTAAATATTCATAGACTCAAACTCGACCAGAGGTATGTGAGTACAGAGACCTCTGAAGTTACCGTACTTCTTTCTTCTCTTTCGAAGAAGGGTATGCATTAAAGCTTCCCGGTCAAGTGAGTCCAACGCTCCTTTCAGGTCAAGAAACACTGCGATCTTTGGTCGTCGGTGGGTGTGATGCAGCCCAAGGACCTGACGCAACGTAAAAATCTGATCAATACATCCACGACCAGGCCGGAATCCGGCTTGCTATTCACGGATGTTGGTCTCTCTTAAAGGCATCTGACGTCGAAGTACAACTGAAGCTAGCACTTTGGTGACGATCGGGATCAAACTTATCCTGTGGTGGATTTCGCAATCGTTGCGAGAACTTTTCTTGAAAATGGGAACGATCAGTGATTCACCCCAAGGTGAAGGAATGCGGTGTTGCGTCCAAATGTTGCGCAGTACGGTATTAATGAAGATTACAAAGTTATCATACCCCATCATGGAGAGAGTGGGAGGGAGCTCATCCGGTCGTGCCGCCTTTCCTCGCTTCAGAGCTTGAATGCAAGACCTAGGTTGTGCTTCTGCTGGAGTATCGCACCGCACTGCCCACGGGGCCTCAGTTACAGATGAAGTAACCTGGCTAGAAGAAGGCCAGCTGAACTGTCTACCATCTACATAACAACATGACACCTTAAACTGGTATTAGGAATTGAAAAAGGTAAAGTAACTTTCTCGCTGTTACAGATACCCGGGATAATACTACATGGAATCATACTTACGAACATTTTGAATTTTCTTCATGCGTGAGCAGTCAGTATGAAGGATTTAATTGATCGACAAAAAATCGCTATTCTATTTATGCTAGCTGACGGTACATACAAACTGCAGCTCCGCGCAAAGCCGCGTCTCCTATTCAACTACCGGGAGACGAAAAACCACTGTTGACACAGCGAGCAGAACAATGGGAGGTGCGCGTAGAAACAAACAATATCAGAGAATAATACAAGTGTAAGAATAACATTATAGTTTGAAGGATTCATCAAAATCCAGGTCTTAGACACTATTTTGAAAAGAAATCTAACCAAAGAACACAAAATCGCGAAGTTTCATGATATATTTCACATATTCTTTTGCTACACATCAACTTTTGCTTACTTACGCGAAAAGATATTACACTTTAAGATGCACTGAATCATAGGAAACGGAGCGGAAAACAGTATGGCAGATTACTAAGGTGAATACCTAGTAAAAAAACTTCTTTCCGTTTTACACAGAATGGATTTCCTCCGATTGACCGTTGTCGCCTCCACATGTCGTGGAAACCGTGAACATCGGACTGATCAGATAGCTATGAATTATTCATCGCGATCGAACCAGATGTGGTGCTAACAGATATCCCGCGAGTGATGAAGGAGGCCTGTAAATTTAACTTATGTTCGGCTGTGATTGTGTGATGTTCATTCTAGTGCCATCGCGCTGAATCCATTTTGGAATATGCTACTCCACTTGAATGTCTATTTCTCGGCTCCAGTGATGTAGGTGACTTCACACCCACACTCGAATGTATCAAAAACACAATTAGTTTGATAAGGAGAAATCAACAGCCTCTGACTGGTAACCTCAAACAACTGGCCAAGTACCACACTGAAGTCGCAAACAAATATTTCCATCGCATACAAATGCATCTAACTGGCGGGGAATCGGCGACATCCCAAGGAGTGACACCAACATCCAAGACCCTGAACTATGAACAATTGAATGGATTAATCCAAACATGAAGCCGTAAAAAACATTCAGTTTCTACATTCTTGGAGAACAGAAATTAGTCTGTAGGATAAAGCCTACCAACTTCTGTGCCAATATTAACGAAGGCATCAGAAAACTGTAGGATGAAAAACTAAAAAGATCAACAAAATGCTCACAAAAATATTCAATATTTCTAGAAAACCCGGATAAGTACGTGGGTAATTTTTCGTTGTAGAAACTAAACAAATTAGGAACCGAAGGCTTATCCTGAGGTTTGTGGTTGGCTTACTTCGAAAGAAAATGGCCAGAGACACATGAGACACATGCACAGTTCAATCCACTCTTTAATCAAATAACGGGGGTAACTGCGAACATCAAAGATGCCGAAAGGTGGCACAACACAAAGTTGGTCGACTCGGTACATCAAAATCGAAAAGCTCTGACAAACGTGCGATACTTCCTCACACAGGAACACACCAAAGCCTTGAAAAACTGAAGACCAATTAGGATGTCACCATTCGACAACCGGACAACAGTTCAAGAGTTGTGTTAATGAATACCTCTCATTGTGAAGAAAAGATGAGACACTAGAAGGCTGTTCCGTCCTGGGACTCGTCAGCAGTGCATACGTTTTGGGTCCGTGTCAGGACTCGAGCCGCAAAACATTCGGATAGAGCCTTCCCAAACAGGACGAAACAGCAGTGCAGTGCTCTATGTCCGTCATCACAAATCTTTCCATCGTTTGTAAATGCACTCAACCAGTGGGGAATTACCGATAATCGAAAGAGCGAAACCCACAAGCAAGACCATCAACAGTACCTGGTGCCTGTGACAATCGAATGAATTATTCCAAATCTACTTCTCTTAAAAGATGAGACATTGCATGCGCGGAAACAATGTTTACATCAGAGAAGAACTATGGTGACAGTGAACTGGACCGAGGTTCAGTTTCCCTTGAAAGGTAACTTCATTGAAGAAAACATTGTGAATAAACTTAAAGGGATAAGATTTTAGCTACCTGTGCTTACATTGCATAAAGAACATACCCCTCCAGCCAATGCTATCGACGCACAATTCCGATCAACATAGTATGGTAACGGCGTTTTGGAAGTCATTGTAACTCAGATAAATGTCATTATTTCAATACAAAGCAATAGATAGCTTAGCATTAGCTCATATATAACACATTGAACATCACTAGATGTGGTTTCTCTGTTTACCAATATTCCACTGGTGGAACCCATTCAATCCAATTTGGGAACGATTGCTGCTACTACGTGCATTGAATGTGTACTTATAGATCACTGGAAAATAAGATAGAACGTGAGCTCAAGTAGATAGTTCACACCACGTTGATGATATGCTACTCATCATTACGAATGCGGCTAGAACGAGACGGCTTCTAGGCCATTTGAGCCAACTACATCCAAACATATGAATCGAAATCCGAACGAAAGGGACGGCCGAATACCTTTCTAAGACAAATGTATTACCCATAGACCCAATTACTTGATCAGTGAAACGGAACTCAACATGGGCTGGGCAAAAACTACACTCTCAGTTTCACCTCCGTCCAGAATATACCTCACCTCGTTCGAGCCCTCATCCATCGAGTTAGACACACCAGCATTTATTGGAAATAAAGCGGCAGGCTGATCGTAATGTGGCGGCGCGGTTCGAATTGAAATTACACAGACCAGTTTGAAAAATGTAAGAAACAATTATGTGAAATGTGACACAGGAACAGTTTGCAAGGACTCACCAGCACTGTGGTGGTGGATCGCTCCGTGCTAATCCATGACCGTGGGGATGCATTACTCACACACCACACGGCTCGATCGGTGATAATAGCAACCACCCCAGTCCCTTGCACGGGCAAAACGTGAAACACGCACTCCGGATAGTGAAACGTGTGTGACAGCCAAGAACCATTAACAGTGGTCTGAATTATTCCGCTGATTGAATCTCTCGCGGGAATTATATTAACAGGAGCTGTGGTTATTACAACGGACTTCGCGGACGAACGCGAGACATCAGCTGCAGCATCATCGTTCACTGACAGTTCTTCACCAATTTCAACAAGTCCGGCAGCTGTGGCTCGGTGATTGCCCCCGGTTGTTGAATTCAAGGAATGTCGTACAGAAGTGAATAAGGTTAACTGGTGCAGTTGTAACTGAGCCACTGCTTCGTCCAGTCGATAGACGCTCAGCGGGACGAGGGCGTACTTCGATAGGCCTGAGCGACGAGGACGTCTGCGTCGCGGACGACCGTGACCGGACGAACGGGCCACTTCGCTAAGTGTACTCATAGCTCCAGAAAACAGATCGAAAATACCCCCAAGAGGTTTGGTGAATGTGCCCAATAAGCCACGACCCACTCCGGCCACAAAACCCTAGACGACGGAATCAGAGTTAAAAAACAAAAAACAGCAGTGCGTCTCACAGGGCATTCATTAAAGTCCATATATTCACCCGGATAGCATTGCATAATTTCATTATATACCGAGAAATAAATGAAATAAAATTATTCCAAAAATTCGAGAGATTGCCTCAAATATGATAAACCCACACAGAACATGATCAACAGTGCCTGGTGCCTGTGAATAACCGAATGGGCTAATCCAAACATTAACCATCTAAATCATCTATATATGTTGCTACAAAATGAAACAGCAGGATAAAAAAACAATGACGAGTTAAAGAGATGGAAAAAAGAAACAAACCTTGAATTGATCCTCCTGTATCCCGCGATATGGCTGTGTCACAATGGATGTTATGCCACCAACCAGACCGTGCATGAATCCACGAATTCCGGCAGTCAGGGGAGCAATCGCGGCCTGATCAATGTCTAACGCACCCGTGTCAGTTACTTCACCGATCCAACTGGGTTCTATAGCCATAAAATCTCTACCGTGACCGTGCATAGTTGAAGCACGAGTCAATTCGAAATCTTCAAGTGTTTCGTCCGCAAGTCCCAGTTGTGTCGCAGTCCCGGGCCCGAAATCCGCAACTTCCCCTCCTCCATGGACATGCGACCCACCAGCAGCAACTGTTTGGGACGGAGGATGACCGGTACTACTGCGATTTGAAGACCAAAGAGGTACAGTGTCCGAACGAATACCGAGGATTGCGGCTCGCTCATGTTGATGTTTTTCATCAAGGGAAATTGCATTCAGAATTTGCGAAACACTGCCCAGAACCTGGTAAAGACAAAAGAAAACTAACTGTTCTATAGCAAATCATATGAGTATGGGAATAGAAATATGACAAGACACTCAATAAGTCCGAGTTACTCCAAGAGTGACTAAGATCTCGTATTCACCCCAAGAAGTGTGTTTATGGAGAGCATCTATTTTATAACACATATTTGTATGATGAATAGCCGAATAGTGGAGAAGTCCTGCTCAAAGATGGGAATCGGTAATCCAAGCCCCAAGACTTAGAGTGACGAACCGCAAAAGGCCCCGCCAGTTTAGGTATTTGTGGTGGAAATCCACCTACAGCTTTCTTGTGGCCGAGGTGTATTCATTGAAGTCTAGGTGTGAAAAACCATTATTCGGGGTATAACTGGAGTGATGAACGGTAGATAGCTGGCTTCCCCGGGGTATTGGAAACTTTAAAGACCAAACCTTCCAGGAACAAACTTAAAAACTGGTTAAAAGACATTGTAGTTGCAGTGATTTCCACCTCGGCTGGGTATATTTGGGCATCCTAAATGCGTAACCCACGTCTGGACGATGATTAATTCATTAGCATTGACGCACTGTGCACGTCACCCAATAGAATGTCGCGCCACGTGGTTTTCCGAGGTATGTAATGGGGGGAGTCAAGGGTGGTTAAACCAAAACCTTGCATGAGGGTATGAAAACCTAGAACTCGGTCATACAGATGGCGTTCGGCTTCCCGGATGGGGTTCATGGGATCGCAGAAATCAACGGAAAGATACATTCAGAGATATAACTGAATGTCGTAAACAGTGGCGTTCGTGCATTTCGATTTCCTTGCACACTAGGGTCGCCGGAATTCCCCATTTTCTCTTCGACATTGCTTTCAATGTTCAATCTTCTTTCTACCACTTCATACAAATTGGCAGTCAAAAGAGGTCTTACATGATAGACGAGATCCATCGTTTGTGTTTTGAGCTTGTGCCAGGGTTCATCATTGCTTTTATTGATATTTGCATAACTTCCTTGATTTGATTCAACCGATCGTTCAGTTCTTCGGCTGGTGGTTGAACTGATAGGCGACTGTAGAGACCCGCTT